ACAATTAATGGTCACAGATACATAATTAATCGGTCACAGATTATTTTTGAGGTCACAAATCAAAAAAATTATAGGTCACAATTTTTTTATTGGACACGGATCAAAATTTCCATAGGTCACAGATTATTTCGAGATCACAAATCAAGTCATATTATTTTATTTGTCACGGAACAAAAAATTACAGGTACAGTTATCTATCAGTCACATATTTTCAAATTTATTGGTGACAGATTAATTTTTAGTCACAATTTTAAGGCCAGTGTTAGATTTTTTTATGACCACCACCGATTTCTGTGACCACCCCCGTCGTTGTTGCCAGAACCAACAACACCACCCCATGACCGCCACTGACTTTTGTGACCACCCCTGTGACTACCACTAACTTCTGTGACCACCCCCGTGACCACCACCTCACCACTGCCACAGGCCGTATCGTTGTCGCTGCCACCACCATTAACACCGACACCGTCACCACCAAAAATTCGGTAGCACAAGCCACCACCTCGCGATCTGAAAACCACAAATAGAAGGAAACAAAAACCAAATATCCAGCACCACACCACAAAACCGCCCCTGCCACCGCCAAACCCCCTACCACCACATCACCACGCCTGCAACACATCACCACGCCACAGTTCACAACCCATAGCACACCACCACCATATCCTCCATCTCCGTTTGCACCACTGACTGCACAGCCACCACATAGCTTTCGGATCCTGTTGCGGCAGAGATCAACAATCTCTTTGCCAATGGTGTAAAGCCCTCTAGCAAAGTTGTTGGCAACGTCGTTATTGCCAGCGAGCAGCTGTTCCGAGTGAAATAGCTAGTGGTATGTCCCGGTACGGACCTCATCTATCACAGTAGTCTACAGATCCACAAACACAACGCAGGAACGTGCTTTTCGGCACCGATTTTGCTGAAGAATGTGTTGATCTCCACCGCGACTGTTTTGTCTCCAGGATTTCTCATGCTTTTTTTGCGTGAAATTGAAATTAGAAAGAAGTGCAGAGAAGTATAGATATGCCTCTAATTTGATCGGGAGGAAACGCCGGTGCTGGCGGTAGAGGTAAGTCGCCGGTGACTGTGCATCACCGGTGGAGGTCGCCAGATAGAGATGAGAGAAGGAAGAGGACGACTGTGGGAGAAAGGTAGAGAGAGAGAGAGAATTAATTAGGGTTTGGGATTGTTTAGTAAGTATATTTATTTTATAAAAATATAAATTAAAAAAAATCTGATTTTAGAAATAGGAAACTTCTAATCTGATTTTAGAATATTGAATACTTGAGCTAGTGTTTTGTGTAATTTCCACAAAATCAAAAGCACGTACATATGGCTGTAGACAAATCTCAGTCTTATTTTTTTGATTTTTGATTTTTGTAATCGTTAATGTTTATTCTTTTCTAATTACAACTCTCTTCTCTCATCCTTTCATTTTTTCTGTTAATTATTTAATTGAGTCAATTAATTATTATTTTTATCTTATTTTAATTAATAAAAATTAGAAAACTATTCAAATATTTCAATTAACAATATTATACTATTATATATTGTCTTATACGTTTGGAAAATATATTTATTTATCTTTTTTTAGCTATTTGGTTCGACCTCAGTTCCACTCCGGTTCAACCCTTTAACCCTGAACCCTTTTAAAACATTGATAAAAGTCAAGGAGATTAGGAGAATTAAATTACTTGTACACACAAAGTGTATACCTTGTCAGAACAATGTGTCAAAATATGTCAACTCACATGGGTGTAAACCACTGTGCTAAACTTTATGTATAAGTAACATGGTCCTTATTGGGATGTTGTATAGATGAACTATGAGTATTTGGATCCAAATATGGAATAAGAAGAAAAAGTCGTCGGAATTATACTAGTCTGTCTCAAAATTGATGTTCGAGACAGAAGTACCATCGCTAGCCCAGCGCCTGCTGTCGGCTGTCACGTGAGTAGCGCACTTGTCGCTCGAGTGACGATAGTATCTAAAAAATCCTAGTTTGCGATTTTCAAGTGTTCTATCTATCCTATACTACCCCAATACATCTCTACTATAAATACACAAGCCACATTTAGTAAAAACTAAGGTTGAACATATTATTCTACCTAGAGAACATACTTTGGAGATCCTATAACGAGTCTAATCTTTGAGATCAATCATCCACATCTTGGAGAAAATATCAATCCAAACTATCAAAACACCAACTTCTTAAATATCTATCAAAGAGTACCGAGGTTTTCAAAAGGCGACCAAAAGTCCAAGAAAAGAACAAGAACGAGGAGTTCTTGGTGATCCACAAGAGATAGAAACTTCCAAAAGGTTAGGAATTGGTGTGAGGAACACACGGCCTAGGAGGGACTTGTAGATTACATGAAGTAGATCAGGAAGTCTAGGAGGTTGTCTAGTTTGGATCGTATTGTAAGTCTTTGTCTATAGTGAATTTTACAAGCTTGTTCCGGGCTTTTTTTATTCCGCGAGGGATTTTCACCGTTATCAATTCTGTGGTGTTATTATTATTATTTTTTTTTTTTGCAATTATACAAACCGTGTTAATTCAACGTAGGATTGTAATTCCACGTGAATTCATCTAGAATGATTATTAATAGTGACTTGTTGCTAGTAATAATTGGTAAATATTATTTTCGCACTATACACTTATTTACCCCCTCTAGATGTTATTTGGGTCGAACGTCTTTATTTTCAGTGTGGATTGATGTCGGTGGTGAAGTGGAATATTTGATGTTGTTTATAATGTGAGAGATGGTGGTGCATATCTGATAATAGTCATGACGACACTGATTGATCTAGTGTAGACAGTGGTGATGGCGATAACAGTGAGTTGGAGTGGTGATAAAGATCTAGTAATGATGATGATGATGATGATGGTTGTGGTGGTGGTGGTGACTCTAGCATAGGTGACGATGATGTGGTGGAAACATACGATAACAAAGATAGCTGAAACAACCAACTGAATATGCGGGACATTGTATGCTCGACGTCCGTGTAACACGTTTGTTTAAAAAAAAAAAGTGGTGTAAATAATAAATACTAAGTTAAAATGGTATTTTGATTTTATCAAATAAAAAAGTTTTGAGAAATAGTTTGTTTTTTAGGCTATTTATGGAAATTTCCCATTACTTTTTCAACATCTTTTTGTTTCTTTCTAAGTGGACCTTGATGAAGCCCGGTCTCTAGACCGGTCATAGAAAGTCGAAATTCTGGCCAACTAACCCAATCATGGTCCAAGAGATGGCCCAATTGAACTGGCTCCACAATCAGTGACCTCCTCGCACTACTTCTGCTACAGGGTCACAGGCAGACGCTGTTTTAAAAGGGGCAACAAGCTTCAAGATCCAAATTAATGCTACTTTGCCCTAAAAATGTGACATAATGATTGACAAAATAGGTGTTAACAAGATGTGATTGATTGAAAAAGCTGACTGTGTTTTAAACAGTCCAATGATAGGTTGCCCTGTGGCATTGTATCAACCATTATGTTCATATAGTATGATTAAATTAATAAATATTTTCAGAACGCAGTGTTTGCTAATTATTTGGGTAAATTTCAAAAATCTCATGACAATTTCGGAGGCACCCTCTATGATTTTATAAAGAACCCTTCTTCCTCTATCCATTGTTTTCAATAACGGATTATCCCCTTATTAACTAAAAGTATATTTTTATTTCCTATTTTACCTTTAGATATTTAAATATAGTTTAGTAGTATTATTAAATATATTTTACTATCATTTTTTTCTCATTTTTAAGATTTTTTTTATGAAATATTAGCATTATTTTTAACTATAACAATTACTATTCCACTTATTTAATAATGTCTGAAATTATATTTTCTCTGGTCTTTATTTTTTGTACTCGTAACATATATAGAGATGACAACATGCTTGGCAAGTTGAGGTAGGCCTTTTCGTCCCTTGCCCCGTAGGAATTTTTGGGTGACAATCAAAGAAGGGGTGAGATTGAGGCAGAGTAGGGCTGGGCATAAATTAAAAAATGTCAGTGTTTGGAGGGAATTA